GTTGTAGTCAGAGAGGGTCCGCCCATCCTCCAGTTGTTTGCCAGCAAATATCAGACGCTGCTGGTCAGGGGGGATGCCCTCCTTGTCTTGGATTTTGGCTTTGACATTCTCGATGGTGTCACTGGGCTCAACCTCGAGGGTGATGGTCTTGCCCGTCAGGGTCTTCACAAAGATCTGCATGTCTGCGTCTGCCGCTCGGCCGCCTCGTTCTCTTTGATGTTTTTAATGAATTTAGTGTATTTTCTATTAATGAAAATAGGGGCCGAGGAGATGGCTCAGTAGAATAATTGCTTCCTTGGCAAGAGCAAGGGCCTGAGTTCAATCCCTGGTTAATTTGTTTCTCATAATATTAACTCTATAAATTTCACCAATAGGCTTTCTTTTCTGTATACTTTTAAACAATCTACAAAAATGTTTTGCTTTTATTAACATTATCTGATGATCATTTAAGTAAAGGAGAATTCAGGAAATGATTTGAGTATTCATGAGTTGCTTAGGAAAAATATTGGTTATTTTCCTTTTTGGGCTAGGTAGTATTTGAGTTCTGTAGTGACAGAAACATTTACTGGTTTAGAAACACACAAGGGAACTTGTAACGCTACCAAACCCACACAGGTTGAGCTGAGCTCTTAGCTTAACGTGCATACAGGCTGGTTTCAGCAGTCGGGGTGTGCCTAGATCTTGGTGTCCTGGTCAGGTGGATGCACTGTACCAGCCTCCCTGCAGGATGATGGGATATTCTGAAATGTATAGTGGGAATAACTGTGAATATTATAAAACTGACGAATCTCATGCTTTAAAAGAGTAAATTTTGAGATATCTGAGTAGTAGTTTTTTTTTTTTGTTTTTTTTTTTTTTTTTTTTTTTGCGGTACCGGGGATTGAACTCGACCCTGAGCTTGCCAGGCAAGCATTTATTCTACTGAGCTATCTCCCTGGCCAGCTATCTCCCCGGCCTCTTTAACGGTATTTCTTAAAATATCCTATGGTAGAAGTAAGGAACAGCAAGGTCAGTGTGGCTAAAGTCAACAGGTGGAGGAGGGGCAGTCGATGTCAGAGAGATGTGTTTATTTTTCTAGAGGCCAGTGAATGCTCTGTACTTTTCATCTGTAGCTGTGTCACTGGCCTTAATAAAAAGGTATTCCTGGCCTGGGGAGATAGCTCAGCGGGCTAAGTGCCTGCCTGGCAAGCCCAGGTTTGACCTCCAGTACTGTATGCGATGCTGGCCCCAGCACCCTGAGTGCGCTGAGCCAGCCATGGAAACTGGGCATGGTGGCATATGCCTGTAATCCCAGCACTGGGGAGGCTGAGACAGGAGGATCGCTGAGTCTGACCTGCATAGTGAGGTCCTGTACCAAATAAATAAATGATTAAAAGAAAAAGGTATTCCTACTATTTTCTCTGGGGCTTCAACTCAACGTTTCACTAAAAAAAAAGTAAAAGTGATCTCATCAACTATATGCCAAGAGATCAATGCTGAATTCTTGACAATCTTTCTTTCCTTTTTCTATGGTTGTTTTATCTTGAGATGGAGGTCTCCCTTGTCTAGGCCCACCTCAAACTCATGGGTTCAAGCAGTCCTCCTTCTGCAATCTTGTCTATGTTGAAACTATTGTTATGCACCACCATACCTGGTTGAAATATTTAAGTAGGTTATTCCTACACATAAAAGTACCAAAATATGACTATCTTTCGAGGGAGACACAGACACTTATGTAATGTCATCCTGCTACGAAGATAGCCAGAAGCTTTTTTTTAATACATTGAAAAGTGGTCCTCTTAAAAAGTTGGGATCCATTTGTTAAGCCAGAGGAGTCTTTTTCTAGAGACATTAGTGTCAGTGATAACCTGTGTAAAGGGGCAGCATTTTAGGATATGTGTTGAAATAGCTCATTTTTGGTTCATGAAATACAGCAGGTAGCTTGAACAGTTTTCACTTATGTTGTGCAGAGGGATCTTAATGGATGTGTGTAGTCCATTTTTTAAATAATCTTTGGTTTATATGTTATGAAGTTTTTATCTTCAGGTGACTTTATAGTATATTTCTAGGTGCCTCATTAATTCTATGTGATTTCAGGGAATAATTTTAAAATAGAATTACTTTCTACTATCTCAGAATAAAAAAGCATAGTTTCGAAACCCCCAACATACTGCCTTTTTTCATATAGTTAAATATTTGGGATAATGAATGATGACTTTTCTATTAATGCTCCATCTTAATAAGCTAGAAGATATAAATTTGACCTTCAAAACAAAATGTGATTTTTATTAATTCATTAATTTGCAAAGAGACTATTTTCTTTTCTAGGAAAAAGGCATTGAAGTGACACTTTCTCCCCATCCCTGCCCTATGTGGACCCTGGACTGGAACAGTCTTCCTGCTGCAGTGAGCCCTAAGGAAGGTGTGTTTTTCTTTAAGTTTTACTTAAAATCAGATCTATCTTCCAGTTTTCCAATTGTTCTTTGACTATTCTTAATATTCTAATGATAGTAATGATTGAATTTTCATTTTTATTATGGAAAATTTCATATAGTCACATCGCTCAAATTTAGTATTTTATATTTTACTATATTCACTTCATCTATTCCCTTTTTTCTTTTCTGACACATTTTAAAACAAATCCCAGGTAATATATTTTAGCACACACAGATAAAAGAAAATGGTATTAAGCAATCACAATGCCATTATCACACCTAATAAAAATTGACAAAACATTTGTGGTCATCTCATAATCCATAATCTACTTTCCCCAATTGTTACAATATTGTTTAAATATATTTTTATTGCTTGGTTTTTAATTAAATAGTTATATTTTCATTATTAGAAATTCTTTTTGGTTTTTTTCCAGCACTTTTTATTTCCTCATGCTTTTGTTTTGGATTTTCTAAAGGTTTTATATTTTATCTTTAATACTGATAATTGATATTCTTATATTTGTAATTCTTTTGTGTTTATTTTTCTTTTGCCCTCTTATTTCCATGTGAATTTTGTAATTTTATTTATTTATTTAGCGAAACCAGGGATTGAATTTAGGCCCTTGTACTTGCCAGGCAAGTGCTTATTCTACTGAGCTATCTCCCTGGCCCTGAATTTTGTAATTTTAGACTGTTTTGAGTTATATCCATTTGTGAGAACTTACAGCATTTGGCTTGAGGCTGTCCTACCACCGCAGGTGTGTACATTTGCTTCTAGTAGGCTCCAGTATTAGAACCTAAGACCACGTTCCAGTAGTACGTGGCATATGGAAAGCCATTTTTTTCAGCGATATTTGCAGGTTAACAAAATCTGTTGAAGCTCACTACCCAGAGCTGAGATTTAAACAAATAAATTATTTTTTTTAACATCTTCCATTTTTGTTAGGACGTTTTTCTGAGTTTTCTCTGAGTGAATATAACTTTTTTAAGTTATACATAATGACTCATATTCTTCATAGGAAATTTGTACCTATGCATGATTCTTGTGATTACTTTTTTCCCAATCCCTTGCCCTCCCTATTTACAAAGCTTTGTTTCTTTATTATCATTTTTAATCTTTTTTCCTTTCCCCTTCCTCCCTTTCCCTCTTACCTTTTGAACAATTTCTTTTTTCCTTTTGAACAGTCTCTTCCATTGCACAACATCTACTGTACATTTTGGTCCTTATCTACTCTCAGTTTCTCACACTAGGGAGACAATGCGATATTTACATGTGTGAGTACAATGTATTTCACTTAAGAGTGTGTTCTCAAGTTGCATTCATTTACCTAGAAATGCCTCGACTTTATCCTTCTTCATGGCAAAGTAGTACTGTATTATATATTTAAAAAAAATCTTTTTTAATCCATTCCTCAGTTGATGGGCATTTGGGTTGTTTACAAAATTTAGCTATGACAAACTGTGCTATATGTTTCTAATTCTTCTGGGAAGATATACAGAAGAATGGCTGGGTTGAATGGGACCTCTAATACTGGGTTGTTGTGTTTCAGTAATTTCCATAATGATTTCTGCAGTGGTTGCACCAGTCCACACTCCTACACGCAGTGGATAAGGGTTCCTTTTTCCCTGTAGCCCCTCCAGCATTTATTATTGGTTGTTTTCTTGATGATAGCCATCCTTTCTGGAGTAGAATGGAATCTCAGTGATGTAATTTGCATCTCTCTACTAAGCAGTGATATTGAACATTTTCTTATATATTTACTTGCCATTATATTTCTTCTAAGAAGTATATGAGCATCTCAGATGCCTATTTTTGGATTGGATCTTTAAATTTGAAGGTATGATTTTTTTTTTCATTTTTTTATATTTCTAGATGTAAGTCCCTTGCCTGAAGAGCAACTGGCCAGTTTTTTTTTCCCCACTCTGAGTTGTCTTTGCATTCTGTTGACAATTTCCTTTGTTATTCAAAACTTTTTAATAGGATATCACAGTTGTTGATTCTTTGTATTATTTCTTGTGCAATCAGGGTTTTGTTCATGAAATTTTTGCCTACCTCTGTCATCAAGAGTACCTATTCTCTTATGGCAGATTTAGTGTTAATGTTTTAATATTATATCTTTGATCCATTCCAATTTTAGTTTAGTGCATGGTGAGAGTGATGAGTCTAGTTTTAGTGGAAAGCCAGTTTTTCCAGCACCATTTGTCAAAGAGGCTTTATTCCAGTGAATGTTTTTTGCTCCTTTGTTAATGACGTGGATGAGTAATGTTCACTGTTGTTTCTATATCTTCTCATCTGTTTCGTTTGTCAAAGACAAGGTGGCTGAATGTTGTTGTAGTTGTGGCTGCATCTCCTAATCTGTTCTATTGAACCTCAGGTCTTTTTTGTTTGTTTGTTTTTTGTTTGTTTGTTTTTGCCAGTAACATGCTGATTTTATCACAGCATTGCAGTATATTTTCAAGTCAGGGGTTGTGATGTGTCCTGCCTTGCTATTTTATTTTTTGTTTTATTTCCCAGAATTGTGTTTGCTATTTTAGGTCTCTTCTGATTCCACATACATTTTAATGGTTTCTCCCTGGTACTGCGTGCTGTGCCGGCCCTGCCCCTGGGCTCACTGAGCCAGCAATGGAGCCTGGGTGTGGTGGCGCATGCCTATGATCCTATCACTAGGAAGGCAGAAATCAGAAGGATAACTACCAGTCTGAGAGAGCTGTGTAGTGAGATGCTGTGCACACACACACACACACACACACACACCAACCTTAAGAATGTTTTTCTGTCAGGTAGACTAATAGTATTTAAATTGGGATTGCATTGAATCTGTATAATGATTTTGGGAGATGACCATTTTCACTATGTTGGTTCTTCCTATCCATAAGGAAGGAATTTTTTTTTTTTGAATTTCTGATATTCTCTTCAATCTTCATTTAAAGATAGTATAATTGTTAATATATAGCTTTTTTACTTCCTTTGTTAGATTGATTCCTAAGTGTTTCTTTTTGTATACTATTGTGAAAAGTGTGGTTTCCCTGATTTCTCTCTCAGTGAGTTTGTTGATTGTATATAGAAATGCTATTGATTTTTGAGTGTTGACTTTGTATCCTGTTACACTACTGAATTTAGTAATTAAATCTAGAAGTCTTGGTCAAGGTTTTGGGTCTTCTATGTAGAGTCATGTCATCTGCAAATAATGATAATTTAACTTATTCCTTCCCTATCCTTATTATTTCTCTCTCGTCTAATTGCTCTGGCTAATGTTTCCAAAGCTATATTGAATAGGAATGGTGATAATGGACATCTTTGTCTTGTTCCTGATTTTAGAATGAAAGATTTAAGTTTTTGACTATTTAGTATAAAGGTGCATGTTGGTTTTTTCATAGAAGGTTTTTGTCAGATTGAGGTAAAGACCATCTAGTCCAATATTCAATAGGGTTTTGCTAACGTGTAAAGCATCTATCTCTCTAGGTACTGTTAAAACACAGTCTGCTTTCACTTCTTTCTTTCTCTCCAGAATAATATCAGAGCCATCAGAGTTTGTATTTACAACTTAATGCTTTTTCTATTTTTATCATGAAATCAGTCAGATGTAAAGACTTGTGTATATCTATGAGCCCTTTGCCAACTGTATCAACTTTCACTTATATTAGCAAAATATAAGTGGAAATAAATATCCTAATAGCATAAATAAAAGTAGTTGATTCTTTCAATAAAACCTTTTTTTTTGAAATGCTAGTCTCATATTTTTATTTCAATTTCATCACCACATTAGATAAGACTCAAAATTAGTGTATTTTCTTACTTAAAACCAAATGCTCCAGTGAGACAGTATTTATATTGAACTTGTTGACATTGAAAATATTAAAAACACATCAAGAGAATAAGATCAAAGTTGTTTTGGTTTTTTTAATTCCTTCATGTTTCTGAGAAAAATTTCTGAATCATAAATGTTTTTTATTTCTCCAAGTTATATTTAGCTGTGAAATTCAAAACTCAATCAAATTTAACTCAGAACTCTACAAATTTATAACTGTTTTCTTTTTTGTCCAGAGTAAAATTTCCAACAATCATTTCAGTGTTTTGCCAAAGCATTATTTAAGGTTTTTATTTAAACTGTCTTGTTAATCTGAAGTCCCTGTAAAGGTCAAGACAAATAAACATGCACAAAGTTTACATTAAATCATTTGAAATATAGTAAGATTACATAAAATTACAAAGCAAGTTTGATATAGTGGACACTTTACTTATGAACTCAATTTGTTAGTGAGGGCTGGTTGTAACTCACTCTGGTTGTAAGTTAAGACATTTCTTCATAGATACAGTGGAAATGCCCATAATGTATTTTGAACCTCCCAAAACATCTCTTCCCTAACTTTTTCTTCATAGACAAAGGGTTGTGTCATGTGCATAATTTATCAGAAATACCAATAATAAAATTAACATTAAAAAATGCTTGGGACCAAAAAAAAAAAAAAGAAAGAAAGAAAAGAAATACCAATAATTTTCTTAGGGTCTTAATTGAAAAGTTATAAAATATGTCTAGTTTACCAGATACAATAATTTCATACTGTACTCACTGTCAGGTTGACATCTTTGGCTTGTAGGAAGGGAAGATGAAATGAATGGTGGTTACCATTTGGAAGGAGAGTACTGCTCCACAGGAATATCGGGAATCTGGCTCTGTGGTGTCTTTCTCTTCTTGGAAGAGTCTGTAACCCACTGGGACCTGCTTCTGGCTCACTAGGTCTCAAGCTTCTCAGAACTAGAAACTGGTCTAAGGTCTGTTTTTTTTTCTTCATCAGTGTTCTGTAGTATGACATGACACTGTCATTAAGCAAGTGAATTCTGCAGTAGGCTTCTTCTCTGTCTGAGTGGATCTTCTCTACAAATGTTTATAGCTCTGTCTCTTTTTTCAAGATTTCTTTTATTTCAAAAGAACAACGTGGCTGCGCTGATTGTTGATACTCCTCTTTCTCTTCAGAAAACTCAGCT